ATTTAAAATAAAATAAGCAACCGTGGAAATCAAAATTCACGTAGTTTAAGTGGTCATGGGTGAAATGGCGCGATAAAGTATAACAACTTTTAGGACATATTTTTAAATTTCATTTAACAACTCAAAAATTACAAATATGGTTGAAGGGTTAAAACAAACAACATAAAAACAGGTTCTTATTAATTAATAGGATATCCATTATTAGCTATAAATTTTTGGCAACGACGCGGCATTGATGAAATTAAATTTTGGATAGTAATAGCCAGCATATTAATTCAAACTTCATTAATTTTATCAATTAAGAACTGTTTATTTGGAAATCTTGTAGTCCGAATACGACGTTCAACCTCTTCCCAAAGGTTCACAATGCGGTTGAGGTCTGGTGATTGTACTGGACACCGAAGAACCTGGACATTGTTCTCCCGAAACCACTCCTGAACAAGGCAAGATGAATGTTTCGGGTCGTTGTCCTGTTGGAATACAAATAGAAAAGGCATCTCCCGCTGAGCATAGGGAAACATATAGTTTTGAAGTATGTCCCTGTAGACGAAGCGATCCATAATGCGCTAGTTCAGTGATTATGTAATTATGGTTCCACTGACAATTAAAGTGACAGTAGATTTTTTGAGTGCCTTTTGTTCGTTTTGTTTACCTAAATTATATCGTTTTTTTCACTTTTATAAATATATTCCTAAAGTAAGTAGATAACATGTATCAAATATACAATCGTTTAGTTACCAATTACATACCTTTAAACTATTTTTTATGACCTGTAAACAATATTTAGAAATAAAATAAAAACAGTAAAAACGAATATGTCAAATTTATTGTTGTTTTTGTTAAAAGTTTGGTTAGAATTAAATGTCAGTGGAACCAAAATGACATCACACTGAACTAGCGCATCCCGTCTATAAAATGTAGTGGATCTACTCTACTCCACGAAAAACAACCCCATACAAATACACTACCTTGTCCGTGCTTTATTATTGACGTAACATACTTTGGGCACAGAAGTTTAAAGAATACTTCGGTGCTTTGGGTGAAATCTCGTTAATACGAGACACCTAACAGGTCTCATTCCATCACAATTAAAAAAAAATAACAACTTTCGTCGCTAAACAATACTTTTCCCCACTCTTGCACTGTCCAGTTCAAATGGTGTTATGCAAATTCAAACCTGGCAAGACAACGGTTTCTTGGCAGGAGGTCTGCTATAAAATTTCGCCTCAACTAATTTGGGCAAGTTAAGCTGTTTGGAAATCGCAATCTTACACTTCCCTTTTAAAAGGCGTTTACGACCATTTCTTGTACCTCTGTGCAGATTCGTTTTCCTTTTGGCATATTTATTTCAGCAAATAAGGAACTATTAAGCTTATTTTACCTGAAAAATGCCATTTTTACTTTCCTATCTGTATACAGATATAAGGAAAGTATAGGAATCATGATTTTTTTCGACCTCGAGTTTTCGACGGATTTTTACGTTTTGAGGTCCCCTGAATCCATTTTGACTATTTTCGCGATGCTGTCTGTGTGTCGCATAACTCATGAACCGATACACAGAAAAACACCAAATTTTAAACTTAAGCTTTGTTCCAGCGTCCAATGAACTGATTAGATTTTAAGCAGAGTCGGAACATCTGGGGGGTACTTTATGGGTGGTCATTTTTATATTTTATGGAATATATCTGTTATTTACGTTTGGGGAAAAAAATTGTTCAAATAAAAGTTACTTCTTATATTATTATCCATAATTTTTGTTCTATACAAAATTTTCCTAAAATGGTCCGTATTCGAGAAATTTGAGAAAATTGTAAATTTTGAAATTTAAAGAAAACTCAAAAACGGATAAAAAAACATTAAATCTTAAACTTAAGTTTTATTTCGGCCTGACGTGAAATTATTAAATTTTGGACAAAGTCGGAACATCTAGGGGGGTACTTTATGGGAGGCCATTTTTATATTTTATGGAATATATCTGTTATTTATGTTTGGAGAAAAAAATTGTTCAAATAAAAGTTACTTCTAATATTATTATCTATAATTTCTGTTTTATGTAAAAATTTCCTGAAATGGTCCGTATTCGAGAAATTTGACAAAATGTGCAAAATTCTGATTTTTATGAAAATTGTTGAACTAAAAGTTGTTTGCGATATCGATCTCTATAATTTTTGTTTATACATGATTTTTCTAAAATGGACCGTAATGAAAAAATTGTAGGAAATTTAAATTTTTCAGTATTTTAGTTTATCCTCTAAACATTTATAGAGATGCTGCAAAAGGTTGTACAAAATAGCCGGAAAAGCCTATAATAACTAGATAAGAAAGTCATGTGTTGGACACATCAGATTTTTAAACTTGCCTTTATCATAAACTCTTTTCCTTTTCCCAGAAACATCCCCCACATCACCGAGTACTCGGTAGGTAGAGAATACTCAACATGCATCACTAGGATGCGATTGAATCACGGAGGATTCGCCTACCACCTTTATAAAATAGGAGTACTAACCTCCCCTAATTGCACTTGTGATAATACCTCCGTAGGAGATCTAAATCACTTAATATTTGCATGCCCAATGTACGAACAAAATAGAAATATACTTATAAAAAAACTTTAAAAAAACTGGGACTCACTCTACCTCTAAATATTACATCTCGCCTTTGTTCGGAAAATAAAAACGTTTTAAATCAGTTAGATGATTATATAAAAAAAATCCAACATAAACATTTAAAGTAATTTTAAATACTAAAGGACATTACCATTTCCATCTATAGTAAGCTACCATAGTTAGAAGAATATTAAAATATTAATAAACACTAAATATTCTGTGGCAAATGGAGTCATTCCGATGCCAACATTAACCCAAAAAACAACTTTTCCTTTTGACCAAATCAAAGAGTTGCTATACTTTTGTCGCGCTAATAAAGTATATTGTGAAAATACATTATTTCATTCTTAACACATGCGTTTTGATTTTTACGGTTTTATTTTAAATTATTAAATATTTCATTTTAACATAAAAGTTGCTTTACTTTTGACCAATAGTGTATGAAGAATCGTATTTCAGAGTAAAAATTCCGAATCAAAAACAAAAGTAATTAGCGAATTTATAATTACAGAAGGCGATATAGAAAGACTGAACTTCATAGAGGTTAAAAAATGGCGTAACTCTTAAAATTATGAAAATGGGTTTAACCATTTCGGATGCATGGGTCAAAATCGTTAGTAGATCAAAGGATGTAACCAGAAACCTAAATTTAGTGCCTCAAAACAATCATGATAAAAAATATCCTGCAAGATGTTTTTAGTTTAAATTATATTAGGTTTTTCACTGTCCTGTAACATTTACATTTTGAGGGTTACGCCATTTGGCATATGAGGTGTCGATATATAAATCTGCCTCCGAAAATCTAAAACACAACAGATTCTTTATTAAATATAGCAATGGAAAATGTGGAATAAATACCATTGGGAAGTTACAAGTTACCAAAGATGATTGCAAAAATGGTGGATTTACACTATTTACAGGCCATTGTTTTAGACGACCCTCTGCAACACTGTTGGCAAATAATTCTGGAGCCTACCTTTTAAAAATAAAATAACACGGAGGCTGGAAATGGAATTCTGTGGCTGAGGAATAATAGATGGGTGAAAAATTCCATTGAAAATAAAAAAAGAATATCTCATCATATATTCGGGAAACCTAACAATAATAATACTAATGTATTAGCAGCAACTTCAAAAACTACTTCTGGCATTAACTCGATCAATATATACAATTAACATAAGAAATTAAACCAGTGTTTCAAATATAATTTTAAGAAAAACTAAAACAAATTCTTCAATAATATAAATATTATTTCTTCAGTTGTCTTTGGTTCTGTACATACGTCGATTCATATTCTTCTTTTAAACTCTATGCAACATCTCCTCTATACAGGGTGTTTCATAATATATGCGCAGGACTTCAGGACGTGATAGCTCGTCCAAAAATATGAATAAACGTTTCTATTAACTTACCCTCTAAAATGCACCATTTTCGAGATACAGGGTGTTGAAACTGAAAAAAAAAATTCTACGCCACTGGAAAAAGTACGGTTTTGAGACGCTCATTTGAACCGCCAATGTTTTCTACACAACAAAGGTACTCTTGGTCATACGCTCTAAAGTCGACCGTTTTCGAGAAAAATCTAATTTTGTTTTATTTCCAAAAATTGACATTAAAATTTGATTTTTCTCGAAAACGGTCGACTTTAGAGCGTATGACCAAGAGTACCTTTTTAGTGTAGAAAACATTGGCGGTTAAAATGGGCGTCTCAAACCGTACTTTTTCCAGTGGCGTAGAAATTTTTTTTTTTAATTTCAACACCCTGTATCTCGAAAATGGTGCATTTTAGAGGGTAAATGAATAGAAACGTTTTTTCATATTTTTGGACGAGCTATCACGTCCTGAAGTCCTGCGCATATATTATGAAACGTATATTACTTTTGTTGCATAACTGCGATAATTATTCTCAAGCACTTGTTGTCGGGATGGCTTAAAATTAAATCACACATCAAAAAATTTTGCAAAATGTAATTTTGATGAAATAAATCTAATGTAAGCAAATTTTTCGTTTTCCTCTTCAATAGAGTCATACTATTAGCCTGTATTCAGGGAATGTGTCACGAAACTAAATAGTTATTGTAGGTAAACGTCAAATCGTCGACATTCATATCTATTGCTTCATGCCAATCCTATAATTTTAATTTTCATATATTTATCATCACAGTTTTTATTTTCTTTTTACAGAGTGTTAGTTTCAAGAAATTGGGTTATTTTGAATGTTATATTATGTTGGGATTTTTATTTCTTTTTATTTCCTCAACTGGTGACATAATGAACTTTTCGTAACCAGTTACATAAAATAGATCATTCTGATACTTGCTGCGATTACAAAAAATGTTACTTCATATATCAAAATTAGAAAAGAAAATATTATAGAACATAAATTGACAGTACCTGTTTAAAGACATGTCCCTCCTCAAAATTGTCGTTAAAGCAGCAGTTACTAATCGAACCATGTCAGCATATAGTAATTGTTTATTTTGCATCGGAAAACATACCATTAATAAGTCTAGTGCTGATCTTTGAACTAACACACTAGAATCTTGCACTGCAGCACATAAACCAGTCACCTAAATTAAAAAAAAAATACATTTTTTAGAAGAATATCAAAAATGAAATACATATTTCCAAATTTCGCAAAAATACTTGTTTAATTGTTAAAACCTAAGTGTCAATATAATAAGTTTTGATATTGACCGCTTTCAACGTTTAGAGTATATCTACATCAACCGACAATGTAATGTATATTGTCAAATTATACTTACCATAAGACCAATATCATTTCCCATTAGATGAAGTTGGTCTTCCATGGACAATTTTTTACTATAATGAGCTAATACATAACTAATGGCAGGTAATCGGACTGGACTGTTATTAGCTACGCATTGCCAAATGCAAGTATAAAAATAAGGGGCCTCCACGCCCTCACACACATTTTCTAATAATAAGTTAGTCCTAAAAAACGTTTAAGTAAAATAAAAATGATCTAATAAATCCTGTATGTAGGTTTACCTTTCAAAATGATCGGTTCCTGTATCAAGACCTAGTAAAATGCCACTAAGAAACCCGCTTAGTGCAGGTCGCAGTCGATCTCCAAGAGGTATAAAATGTGTTTCGTAAATTGTCAATAATGTTGGTCTAATATTCATGGCAGCGTGTCCCATTAATGGAAAAAGTCCTGCAAAAAAAATCATTATTACGGATTTTTCTCACAAACGTTTATATATATTTTTTTTAATCTTTATTCCGGGACATTAGTTACAGAAAAAGCGAGTAGTAAAAGGTTCTTCAATATAATTACGAGAATAAGTGTGAAAAATGTAAAATTATAAGAATATTTTTTATACATTTCAAGCCAATTTTTGTATTTTTTATACTCTTCACACAGTAGTCTGTGAAGAATAGCGAGAAAAGTAACAAAAATACGAAAATCAAGAAAATAACCCAGAAGACACAATAAAAATTGTAAATAAGTGTTGAAAGTAATATGACCGAGGCCGAATACTTATTTACAATTTTTGTTGTTGTATTGTTAAACATATATGACACATAAACTTCATGTATTTCCTCACAAATGTAAAACCATTTTTATCGTGAACAAATTCATGAATTTATTCGCGAATTTCTTCAGGAAAATTTTTTATTGTCAGATGTAAAGCGCGCATAACGGTTTATCGCTATTACGCCCTTTATACGCTAAGCAGAGTGATTTACAATTCATTCAATCGTCCTAAAAAATAGTATAAACGCTCTTTCATAAAAAAACCTTAATTAAAATAACAATGAGAGAATGTTTAGAGCCTTCTAGCAACACGCTACATTTACAAAATGTTTTGAAAACAATTTAATAAACCGATTATAATGGTTAAATTGTGTTTACCAACCTTATTCGAATTAAAAATACATACAATTGAATAAACCATGAAGGTTAACAACCCCCTTGAGTGAACAATAATAGAACAAAACAGAAATTGTTATTGCAGAGTACGTATTTAATTTCTCGATTAAATTTTCAGAAAGTCCAGTTTGAGTTCATTATGTAAATAATTTAAAGAAGTGTTGACGTCATTTAACGCCGAAGAAATTAATAGGTTAGGTACATTATTATTGATCAAATATTTTCAATCGGAGGCAATCTAAATAATTGGACTATAAATAATATTCAAAAAAGTTTTCCATATATAAATGCGAGCCCATCTAGTTTACATGCACGCGCTTTTATACTGTAAAATGCTTTAGAGTTGAGTATATCAAAGCAATCCGTTACACTGCCCTCCTAAGCCAAAAAGCAGTATATAAAAAAAATATTTTTTTTTTATTTTTTAACACATCGGATAACTTCAAAAATTCCGCATCAGATGATTTTAGAAAAATAGCAAAATCTCACTAAGGACATTAAAAAAAAGACATGACTTGACATATATCAACTTCACTTGCATTTACTAAAAGGCTTCGGAATATGCCATTATTACTATACTCGGAACAAATATTGGAGAAGGTGAGTCATATGCATGATCAACACTGTTGTCTATGAATCAAAATTCCGACAGAGTCAGCATAGGCGTCGTATCAAATACCACATAATTATTTATTATTTATTAGGTCTTTGTTAGTAAACTTTATTAAATTTGTTTGTCAACATCTTTATTTAAAAAAAGATGAGGCGTTAAGTATACGTTTTTGATAGTTTTCAAGAAATGAATATATTTATTCCCGAATGACTTCGTTATCTGTGTTTAATGGTTTTAAAATGTGTTTCAAGTAAATAAACGACAGACGGGTTACAGATTGATTATTGTCAGCACAGGCACAAAGACAGTTGAAAACTAACTTTCGACGAAGTTAGATTTGTATCGCTTTAACTATTTACGATAATTATTTTATATTTTATAAACACTTTTTTGTATAAGTGCTCTTTTCTGATATACGAGTAGGTGTTCATGTTTGTGCCTTACAATTTGGTAGTGGTAGTGCATATTCGAGGAGTTATATTTATTGTGTAGTATATTAGGTAGGTACTTTAAAAGTTTATTAAATAGTAAAATATTGGTGTCTTTATAAATTTAATAAAAACAATTTAATAGTAGAATTATATTGTTACAATAGTAATGGATTCAGAGGCGGGTCCAAGTGAAACCCAATTACCTCGGCGAAAGCCCTTATCAAAGGATGAAAAGAACATTATATGGAAAGTGTACGATGGGCTGAAACAGACACTTCCTACAAATGAAGCTATAAACCGCAGTTCTTTTTTAACTGGAATATCTGTTTCAACAATTGAACGTATTGTACGCGAAAAGACAAAAAAGGCTCCTCAGAAGCCCCTAAAACGCATACCCGTGGTCGAAAATTGTTGAAATTGGACGATAACCAAAAACAAATCATTCAAAGAACTGTATATTCTTTTTTTTTTTTTCGAAAACAAAGCCCCAATACTTAAAGTTGTTCTTACGAAATTAAGAGAAAACGTAGAAATTCCATTAATGAGCCGTAAAATTATACGAAAAATTTCATGGGGCCTAAAATTTCGTTTTGTCAAACGGTGTAGGAAATCAATTTTAATTGAGAGGTCAGATATAGTGTCCTGGTGACGGCGTTATTTACGAAATATTAAAGAGTTTAGAGCCGCTAAAAAAAAGATATACTATCTCGATGAAACCGTGAGTGAATGCTGGACACACGGTATCTAAGATATGGCAAGATACTTCTGTAACTAGTCATCGCCAAGCTTTTATAGAGGGATTATCTACAGGTTTGAAAGCACCATCAGGTAAAGGACAGCGCCTAATTGTTACCTATATCGGAAGTGACAGTGGATTTTTGGAAAATTGCGCTCTTGTCTTTATATCGAAAAAAACAGAAGACTACCACGAGGACATGAATGCGGAATGCTTTGAAAAATGGTTTACTGAAGTATTACAGCGTGTAGAACGAAATTCAGTTATTGTACTAGATAACGCTTCTTATCAAAGTCGGCGAGTTGAACGCATTCCGATAATGTCCAGTAGGAAAGCGGATATGCAAACCTGGCTGCGGGATAAAGTAATAACATTTACTGAAGAGATGCTTAAAGTAGAATTAATGGACCTAATAAAGGAACACCGCCATAAATATATTCAATATTTTGTCGACACAATGGCTCGTGATCGTGGTATGACGGTATTAAGACTTCCCCCTTATCACTGCGAATTCAATCCTATTGAACTAATTTGGGCGCAAGTGAAAGGGTTTGTAGCTCGAGAAAATAAAACTTTTTAAAATAGCTGACGTTCAAAGTTTATTAAAAACCGGTATAGAACGTATAAAACCTGAAGATTGGCAGAATGCTATTTCCCATGTAATTAAGGACGAAAATAATATGTGACGCTTGGACGGTATGATCGAAACGGTAGTTGAACCTTTAGTCATAACTTTAAGTTCCGACGATAAAGACGATTCCAGTGATAGTTCTGCAGAATCAATGGATTACGAAACTTCATAGATTTAGAATTTAAGTAAGTGATACCAAGCTTAATTTACATATTTTTATAATAAACAAAATACAATTATAAACAGAGATGAATTATTATAACAAAAATAGATAACCAACTTACTTTCATCTAGTAATATTCACAAATACCCATTTAATTTGCCAATATAGTATTTCTGTGACACTGGAAGAGTGCATTTTGATATAATAACGATACCTTTTGCAGTTTTAAGGAGCACCTTCTTCAATATTTTGTTCTAGTATATTACCCCATTTAATTTTCCAATAGTGTTTCTACGCCACTGGCATATTATTTACATATTTTAACAATAAACAAAACAAAATTATAAACATAAAAAATTATTACTACAAAAATAGATAACCAACCTACTTTCATATAATATTATTTACTATTACAGCATTTAATTTGCCAATAGTTTTTATACGCCACTGGCGTAATTCATTTTGGCAATAAATATGCATTTACGACTAGTTGGCACGTGATTCCGATAACTTCTGCAGTTTTAGGCGCGTGATTCCATTCATTATGCTCTGGTATAGTATGATTGTTGTACGTGAACAGGAATGAATCACCTTATTCAATATTTTGTCCGAGTATAAGCTAAATAGCTGCATATCCATATACGACTCAAGAACTTGCGATAAAGTCTAGATTATAAATACGTTTAGAGGGCGTAAGGTGCCCCTTTATCGCCCGCCGACTACAATAGTGTACTATTCAACGAGCGGGTAATAATGGTTATTACCCACGAGGATGAATTTTGCACTACGAGCCGCAGGCGAGTAGTGTAATCATCTGATTGAGTAATAGCCATTACCAGCGAGTACTACTATACTTTTTCTATGATTATTAATTTAAATAATAAAAAAGAGTTATGCAATATTTTATTTCATTTATTTGTTCCAAAATTAATTATGAAATTAGAATAGTTTTGAAAATTAACAGAAGCTTTTGAATCCAAATCAACAGTAGTAGTTATATTTCAACTGGTCAACTGGTTTTCCGTGTAGGTTGTAGTTGTGGTCGAATTTTGATGAAAATAATTAAGTAATGGTTGAAAATAATTGAGTAATGAAAGATATAAAGTAATGAAAAAAAAAAAAAAAAAACTGTATGAGTAACCACTTACATTAATCAATAGAAAGTGGATGTATAATATGTACTTATATTGTTAAAAAGTCATAGACAAAATTATTTTTTTTATTTCTTTTAAAAATTCACATCTAGTTAGTAAAACAATAGCTATTTGTTAATAAACGATCATTAAAACGGTACATAAATAACTATTAATTTTGATAAGATTATTTATAAAATTGTGTTTTGGTAAAAAATTACTGATATCTAGGCAACCAATATTACAACTTTCTTGTATTGTTAGTTAAATATGTTGTTGACAAATAAAAAATAATATTAATTTAATTAATTAATTGTTGTTGTTAATGTTTATGTTGTTTGTTAAAGTAATTTAGATGTCAAGGAAGTGGGTTATTTTGTGGTGTGTTTGTATTTTAATCATATTGTGCTGATTTAGAATGGAAAATAAGAATGAAAACCACTTTATTATCAGGTTGTAAGTTTAACCAAATTCTATTTTTATAAGTCAATCTGCCCTTCTTTGGTATTAACTTTCAATTATCAATAATAATGTATATTATTGATTTAAAAAAAAAGGTTTATTTTTATTTCT